AGAGGTACTGACCGAGCGACCAATCCAAAAACTGTACATCGACTTTCTGGGAAAGTACTTATATTCGAAGCAAGGGCACGCTTGGATCTTCGTGGTAGTCGACCATTTTTATAATTCCCTTTCTTAAAAGCGATGCGGGATGCTACGGCTCTTAACTCTTTTTGGTTAGCGAGGTTTTCTATAAATTTGGAGTACCCGAGGTCATTCACTCTGACAACGGACGACAGTTCATATCAGGTACGTTCCAAAACATGATCTCAGCTTTCGGCATCTCGCATATGCGCACTGCAGTCTATACGCCACAGAGCAATGCAAGCGAGCGAGTAAATCGTACCGTGTTGTCGGCGATCAGGGCGTACCTAGAGCAAGATCACCGCGAGTGGGACCTCTACCTTCCAGAAAAAGAAATAGAACAATGCCATAAACACAGCGACAGGGGTGACTCCACTCTTTGCCGTTTTCGGACATCATATGTTCCTAAACGGGGCATGCTACAAATTGGCTCATAGGTAAGTGTCTCTGGGTGATCATGAGATTTCTCATTTGCACTCAGCAGACGAAATACACCTGATTAGACAGGGAGTCCAAAGCCAGTTACACCAGGCTTACGAATGAAATCATCGGCAGTACAACACTCGAGCCCGAGTGTTCCAGGCGGCCAAGAAGTCTACCGACGCAACTTTGTACTAACGATTTTTGGAAAGCTTTTAACGCCTAATTTGCAAGTTTTTTTGTCACGGTTGATGGCAGTGTCACACGTTCGCATGTTGGTGAAGCGTTTGCGACTGTCCATCATAGCCTGGTGGTAGCCGCCATGACAAATTAACCTGTGATAAAATGGGATATTAGGATAGGTTTTGGTTAGAGTTTGTTAAATGTTTACTATTTGTTTTGTCTCACTATGTGTTTACGCTTGGTGTGTGCTGGCCGTAGTTATATGAGCTTCGGAGACAGGTGATCCAGGACGTATAGATTCGATCCTGCGCCGCACCTGTGACACAGCATGCCTCAAAAGTGCCCAGAAGTGTGACAGAAGCCAAATAGACTTCAAGATAGCGTTCCTTGAATGCCGTTCTTCAGTCAAAATGACGAACTGAGCAATTTGACGAATGCTTAAATGTTGCCCACAGTATAGATTATGCGTAGACAGCATCGGGAAGGGCGTCGATATTCACGTGAGTCCGTTCCATGAACGCTATCCCACCCCAGGCTAAAGGCAGGGGCAATGTCCGCTTGCATGGTCTTGTAAATAGCGGCAAAGATAAATTGCGATAAGAAATAATATTAATTGTTAATAATTTTAAGGAAATGCAACCAATTATACGCACATATTAAAGGTAAACAATATCCAGCTAAATATCAATTGATGAAGAAAGGGGGCATGAAAGCCGACACGGTCTGATGCAGGCCAAAATGAGGGAGACGAGATCAGGTAATCGTCTCAGGTAGGGCGGGCACGCTGGGTCCGGAACCGGTAATATATATCACAATATCTTGACCAAACTCGACTACTATATCATATAGCTGCCACAGGAACGATCGTACGAAAAGTAATTTGCTGTATGGAAAAATGATTTGTTTTTCAAGATATCTTAGCCATACTCGGCATTAACTATTCTGCCTCTGCTTCTTAGATATGAGCAAAGCACTATCAGCATTATGAAAAGGTTGGGTCTGCAGGGGCATTAAATCATCGGCGTGCCGAAGATAGCCCATCTATCTCGTTTTTCTAATATTTTTTCTATACTTGCAATTGGAAACTTGTCATTTATTGCAATTTCCTGTAATCCATTAAATAAAATTGTGAATAATGTTAAGTGTTAATTTATTAAATGTATTTGTGTAAGGAAGATTAAAAATGTTTGAGTAGGAAGTTAATGGTGGGTAATATAAGGGCGGAAGGCCAACTCAGCTTCGTAAGGGTGTGTTTGAAAAGTAACCGAAATTCCTTATTCCAATTTTAAATATAAATTATTTTGTCAACCGACCGATCCATTTATCAAGGTCTTACTCACCTCTAGTTGATCTCGGTCTAGCCGGCAAATCGATAAAAGGAATGTGAACGACAAGTCAGATCATAACAAATGGCGCCCAATGGAAATAGGGATTTCGTGTGACATCGAGCAAAAAACAATTATCCATTTTAAATTACAATAGACTTACATTTTTGTCAAGTCGGTCCGTTGATAGTCAGCTTCTTGTACCGCGGGGAGGATCCTTAACCCTCACCTGTTGCTGCCACGGCTGAAACGTCAAGTCAGGACATCAAAAAGTCACGGGTATATTTCCAAAATTCGAAGAATGCGAAGTGGAAACCCCAAAACTGGTCCCAGAGTGGAGGCAATAAATGCAGTACTGCGCTGCCGTTTACTGCTCTGCCTAGGATGACAAGAGTATCTATTAGTATTTTTTGTGCATACATTATAATGAGACAAAATTTCAATTTACAGTTTATATCTGCCAGAACATAGGCTGTGGTCCGGGTAGGTGCATTCAAAGACGCCACAAGCAATCGTCCAGTATTGTTCTAGCTACAATTCTTTGTAATATACGGCAATGAAATGTTTATATTTTACTTTAGTAGAAAAAGACTTATCGATAAGCAGCCGCCTAAAACCAAACCCATCTCACCCATTTTGGTTATAAGCAAGTTGGTCTCTGTAAATATAAAAAACTAGCGGGTATAGCCCGGCCTTATCCGTGTCACGTATAAAATAAGTTTTCGCAAAAAAACTTTAAAAATGATTTTGACACTGATCACTGTTGCGGGTGTAATTTCGCAATTCGCTGAAACAGGCTTTCGTTAAGCTCCTATGTAGAGCTTTTAAAATAAGTTTGAAGCAAATCGGACAAAACTTAAAACTTGGCCAATTAAAATGTTGAATTGCGCTTTGCACCGTGAAAGCCATGATTTTGCCAAAAATGTGAAACACGTCTCAAATGAGTTGTCATGTAGATCCATGGAAATGAATTCACGGGCGAAACGCCACCCACCAAATCTTTGACCCCCATTTCCACCAAGGAGGAATGGATTTTCCAAAAAATGTGAAATAACAATCAGATGAATTTGAACAAAGATCTTTGAAAATGTGTTTGAGGCCGATCTAATGGTAAACAAAAAAGTTTCATATAACTGTTTTTTGCCAATTTACCACTGTTGCGGGTGGTATTTCCAAAATCGCTGAAACACGTATTCCTCAATTTCTTATGTAGAGCTTTGAAAATAAGTTTGAAACAAGTCGGAAAAAACTTTAAACTTAGCCCAAAAAATCTTTGAATAGCACTTTTTACGCATTAGCGTTAGCGCCGGCGAAACACGACAACTGCTACAGCGATAAAGCCCGATTTCCACTCCTGTTTAAAGGGCAAGCATCCAAACCGGAGTGTGGTGCTACGGGCAGCAATACAACTAAAAACAAGTAAGAGGTTCTAGTCGGGAGCTCCCGACTAGGGGATACCCTGAACCCTCTTCTCTCAACACCAAATGCAGCTCGCGCTACGCGCTCGTTTGATTTAGTAGTAATAAAGAAAAATGAAAATAAAAAAAAATTGTTCCCTTGGCAGGGTTCGAACTCGCAACTAACCGCACCACTTACCGCTGCCTATACTCAAGGGCCACACCACTAATTGAGCTTTAATGAAAAAAAACCAAATAAAAAAGCAGCACAGAAAACAATACAATCGCAATTGCAATGCTGTTGATAGAATTCAAAGCAAACACGCATGAATGTGTGTGTGTGTACATGTATACAGAAAACCTTGGAATTTGCGCAGCAGCTTTGCTGCTAACACGTGCGCACATAACTTTTGTAATTTATAACCGATCTTAATGAAATTTTCGATAGTACATCTTATTGTAGAATAGAATAAAGAATATTTGTGTATTCTCAACTAAATTGATGGGCAATACAAGTTGGATAATTAACTTGATTTATAGCTTTGCGGTGGTAGCGGGGAGGTGGCGATAGGTATAAAATGAAAGAAACTTGATATATATATACTATTCTAGAAGATACAAGTTTCGTCACTCTAGCTCATATAATTGCCGAAATTGCTTAAAAAACAGGATTTCGATATCGATTTTTATCGTTTACTTGGAAACGGGGCAAGTTATCGAATATCGGAAACAAACTCGATCTGCGCGGCATTAGGAGGACCTACAGCTAAAATTTCAAGTCTCTAGCTCTTATAGGTTCTGATATGCTTGCGTTCATACATACGGACAGACAGACAGACGGACATGGCTAGATCGACTAGGCCTTTGATGCTGATCAAGAATATATATACTTTATGAGGTCGGAGATGCTTCCTTCTGCCTGTTACATACATTTGCACAAATACAATATACCCTGTTTACCCATTTTTAATAGGTTCAGGGTATATTTATATACCACACAAAACAATATACCGTGTTGTAGGATTATCGATAGATTTGAGGGGTGCGCAATTATCGGAGCCACTAGTTCCTCAGCAGGACTTTGGACAATTTTGAAAGGAAGAGCGGTTTTTGATGTTGGGAGAAATTAGATTTAGAAAAGAAAAAGATCCAGATCCAAGTGCAAGCCGGCCGCATACAAAAAAATTAAAATTATTAAACGGCGAATTTTCGTGCTGCCGAATCTGAAGTGCCACAATACGGGATGTGCCGCAGGCGAGGATCAGGTCAACAGAGGTAGGGATTGGCCACCAACTCTGGGTGGCCTCAGGTTTTTTGTAGCTTTAAATAATTTAAAAATTTCAAAAATTTAGAAAATAGCAGCCATATAATTTATAGTAAATTAACATCATTTTAGGCGTAGGCGGCAATGACGTAGAATTATTTATTAGCCACATAAATCACTTATGATAAAATTAAATTCATTTATTCGTGTTAGTGCCGCTAAGCCGTTTTCGCGTTCGCCCTGCAAAAAAATATGTTTTAAAATTGTGAATAATGTTAAGTGTTAATTTATTCAATATATTTGTGTAAGTAAGATTAAAAATGTTTGAGTACGAAGTTAATGGTGGGTGATGTAAGGGCGTAAGGCGAGTGCCCGTCAGGATTTGTGATTTGGCAAGTGCAATTATGACCAACTCATGGTGGGGAGGGCTTTGTAAGGGTGGACCTTAACAGCTGTCCACCGTACGCATGTTTTCAGGTTGTCCGATTGTGTGATCGAAAAGTAACCGAAATTCGTTAGTCCAATTTTAAATATAAATTATTTTGTCAACCGACCCTTCCATTTATCGAGGTCTTACTCACCCCTGGTTGATCTCTGTCTTGCCGGCAAAAAGATAAAAGGAATGTGAACGCCAAGTTGAATCATAACACTTTGTAATTGGTTTATAACAAAGCCTATGATTTTATGTTTATATATTTTATTTCGATACGCAAATATGTACATGCGCGCTTGAGATGGTTTTTAATGTTTACATCTTTGGTTTTCTGCTTACATGTTAGATTTCATGTTTCATATGTATGCGTGCCATTGAGATGGAATTTAATGTTTACATTTAGTTATTTTTTGTTTTAGTCAGCGCATAATTGCATAATATTCGATCTTTAATTGTTAACTTATGTTAAAAGCTTAAGTGCTTTGGAGAAAATATAGTGGTAGATAAGTTCGTAGACAAGTCCCTATACACAATTTGAGGTAAAATATGTCTAAATATATATTATTTTGATTACATTTTATACGATCTGAACAACTAGTTATTATCCTTAATAAATAAGAAATTTGGTTTATTTTATTGGAATATAGAATTTTTGAAATGCATTTCATTACAGGTTACTCTATCCATCTCGATTCTCATTAGTCTTCATGTGTTTTTTCTTTTGGTCGTGGAAATTATTCCTCCAACATCGTTAGTCGTACCACTGTTGGGTAAATACCTAATATTTGCTATGATATTGGTTTCTATAAGGTAAGTTATTGGTTTGTTAATATTTTACTCATAATATTAAATTGTTTGTATATTTGTTTAGCATTTGTGTGACTGTTGTCGTACTGAACGTTCATTTTCGTTCTCCACAAACACACAGAATGGCACCCTGGGTAAAACGTCTTTTCATAAACTTTTTGCCCAAATTTCTTTTTATAAAAAGACCAACTTATAACTTTGAAACAAGGTAAGTTTATATAGATATTATATTATATCATCAAATATTTTATGCTGATTTTGGAGACCTTTGCATTTTGAAATATTTTATTAGCTGGCTAACATTTTTATCATAATCAAGCGTATAACATCAAATATTGTCAAAAATTAAGCATCGAGCTAACTCGGTGAAAATAGCTTTCATGAACATCGGTGCATCCATGTTTCGATTTAAAAAATAAAATATTCTTAATCTTTACGTATTTAAATTGAGACGACCTGCAGACACACATATAAGTAATGGCACAGCAAGCATTTTTTACTAAGCACACATTTTGCCTCCGATTTACTAATACTTTGTGGGCAAGCCCTTCTGTTGTATAACTGCCTCCAAACGCATGGAATAAACCAATTTTCTGGTTGTTTCCACCTATCCAGATCCTTCCATAACTGTTCAATTGGGCTTAGATATGAAGATTGTGTCGAAAGTATTCCAGTCACAATTTAACATCGTAGGTCGTGCTTTGTTGAAATGTAAAATGTGATAGGAAGTTTAGGTTTTACATGTTTTTTTTTAAAGTTGTTTTTAAAAATGATTAAACAAATACTGTGTTGTCCATTATCCCCTCAATAAATACAAGTTCGCCCATGTCTGCCCATGTCTGCATGTCTGCAGCAGACATGCAGCCCCATCTCTTCCCCGCCGCCATGTTTAACTGTTGCTGCAAGGTTCTGTTTTTCGTTAGTTACAGTAGTTTGCGATCTGAATAAAAATTATTAAATTTGCTTTCGTCAGAAAACAGCACTTCTTCCAAAAAAAACAAAAACAGATGGCTGAGTCTTATACTGATTTGTATACTCCAAATGTTTTATTTGATTGACAGAGGAAACGAGAGGCTTACATTTAGCTACACTTGCATTATATTTGTTCTCATGCAGCACCATTCTGATAGTCATTGGGTACTTAAGTAGATGCTGTTTTTGGATTCCCTTCAATCTTCCGGGGGCTACCTTGTCACGCAGTTTTTGAGGCTATGCGATCCTTTAAAGCGACTTATTATGCTGCGAATCGTAAACGGCATCTTACCATAATTTCACAGATCTTAGCATATGATTTACCTTGATTCTGCCAAAACAAACAATTGGCATGGGATTGAGTGGTTTCGATTTGCTTTGGACTTACATTTGACTTTATCTATTGTGTAGGACAGAAAATGCAATTCTAATTGAATAAATATCTATGAAAAATGTGCCAATTTTTATTTAAATAATTTAATAAAATTACTATAATGTTATTGTTAGAATAGGTTTACTGAGTTTTGTAGATAGATTTTTGTTACCGAAATGGCACGCAAAATAGGTGCAAAGTATAAAATGTCTGCTTTGTCAACACTTTTGTGTGTGTCTGTGCATACCAAATTTGGTTGAACTATCTTTTAAAAGTTTCTATCCTAGGTCTTAATCTAATTCTTAAAATTGACTATTATCGATGCAATGGACTGATATTTTGATTAATATATGGAATAAATAAATTTTGTGCGTATCAGTTCACCGCGTAAAACGTAATTTACAACAGCTTCCACAACGTTGTTTGCATAACAAATGCAGCACCAGCAACACCAACTTTAACCATAATGACTTCAACACCAACTCTTCCGCATTGTGTGTGCTATGCAAACACTGCACTTAAAATTATCTTCTTTTGGGGTATATTAAAAAAAGAAAAGGTATTTATCAAGTAAATCTTATGCAGGAGGCTTTGAGATGAAAAAAGCACATTAAGCTTTAAAAAAGGCCATATCAAGTTCTTGATCCGGAAATGTTTTCATTCCAAAATGTTTTACCAACATATCTTTGCCTATCCAAATTTTGAAATTTTCGAAGAATACATAAAATTTGTTAATTATGTAGATTATGAACTCAGAAAAATCACGTCATTCTGAACAATATATTTAAACAACTCCAATGACTATCAAAAAGCTATTTAATAATCATTCAGCTCGCACCATGGATGAATTTTGAGTGAGAAAGCGAATAGAGTGTGACAAAATTATCCTCATCATGCTGAACATCATCAGGAACCATATATAAAGGCTTCAAGGTAATATATATACTAGCGGGTATAACCCGGCCTCGCCCGTGGAACGTATGTTATAAAATCAATGTTCTCAAAAAGCTTTGAAAATGATTTTGAAACTGATCGAACTGATCAAAAAACATTCATACAAACGCTTTTCGCCAATTTACTAGTGTTGCTAATGGATTTTCCAAATCGCTGAAATACGTATTCATTATATTCTTATGTAGAACTCTGAAGTTTAAAGCAAATCGGACAAAACTTAACACTTCGCACAAAAAATCTTAGAATCGCATTTCTGCGAAAAGTGTGAAACACGTCTCAAATGAATTTTCATATAGATCCTTGAAAATGAATTTGAGCGCGAAACGACACCCACTAAATCTTTGACCTCATTTCCACCAAGGAGGAATGGATTTTTCGAAATGTGAAACACCCCTCAAATGAATTTGAACAAAGATAATTGAAATTGAGCTTGAGGCCGAAAGGATGGTAAACAAAAAAGTTTCATACAAACGTTTTCGCGATTTTTCTATACTTGCGGGTTTAATTTCGCGAAGCCCCGTCTTAACGTGCACCTTCATCATACAAGGCAACTACATTGAAAAATTCCGCTTCCTAGCTCTTACGGCTGTGGACTAACAGTTTTATATATAGAGATATATAAGACAGACTATAATAATTATTCAATGGCTTAAAACGTTTCCATATTTTACTTTTTCGGGAATCGCTAAGTAACTGTTTGGACAGGCTTGTTCTTATCTATATTTAGATTCCCTCAGAGAGAGTAGGAGGGGAGCGAAACGGGTGCCCTTTGTAATTCCCTTGGCTTTCAACCGGGCCGTTGACCCTGTGCATATGGGAAGCAACGGTGAACACTTTTGAGTTTATGCGTGTGCCCTTGTTGTTCATGTTGCTGACCAGATGAACAGCGAGCGAGTAGTTCGATTTTGTCAGCTGTTAACAGCGGGCGTTCTGTGCGCAAACGCTCTGGGACGGACCTCCCAAAACTTTAAAAATTAAGAGAATAAAATACCCGCACGCAAAGAAAATAACGCGTAACATTTTTCTTTGAAATCCGCAATTAACGTATAAACATATTTACAAAGATATATATATTTGTTAAGGGCAGCGATACAGCTCAAAAATAAATACCACAAAAAAACAATATGCTGTGTTTTGGATTGCCGATTAAAAGATAAAGAAAGATACCGATAGATTCGAGGGGTGAGCGACTATCGGAGCCACCAGTTCCTCAGCATGACTAGACATTTTTGGAAGGGACAGAGGCTTATATTGTTGCGAGAAGTTTTAAAAAGAAAAAACTCAGAGCCAAGTGCAAGCCGCCCTCATGCCAAGAACAAATATATAAAATTATTAAAGGCAAAATTGTGACAGTTAAAAATATATATAAATAAAATAAAAGGTGAACAAAAAAAGGAATTGAAAAGGATAGTGCATATAATAAAAAAATATATATATAGCTATTCAATTAAATTTGATATTGATATTTATTTGATTCCGGAGAAGACAGGGGAAGATCAGGTCACCAGAGGAGCGGTTTTTCGTAGAATTAAAGAAATATCAAAATAAAAATAGCATTCATATAATTAATTTTAATTACACATAATGTTATATTAGATAAATTATTACTCGATCGCTATTATTTATTGGTAGTGGCCACCCGCAGGCGGCAATGACATAAAACAATTTATTTGTCATGTTTGTTATATATGAAAAAATTAAATGTATTAATTTTTCATCAGTGTTAGTGTCGTCAAGCTGTTTTCGCGTTTGCCCTGCAAGAAAAATTTTTTTTTAATTATGATTGTTAGTATTAATTTATTAAATGTATCCTTTTACATATATAATACATATAAGTGACATCTTACGTGTCCGAGTAGACAGTTAATGGTGGGTGACCTTAACAACTGTTCACCATATGCATGTTTGCAGGTTGTCCGATTGTGTGTTCGAAAAATAACCGAAATTCGTTAGTCCAATTTTAAATATAAATTGTTATGTTAACCGACTCTTCCATTTATCGAGGTCTTACTCACCCCTGGTTTATCTCTGTCTAGCCGGCAAATCGATAAAAGGAATGTGACAAGTCGGATCATCAAATACTAGCGGGTATTGCCCGGCCTGCCCATGGAACGTTTTTTGTTACAAATTTTAGATATTAGCTCTCCACTCGGCACACGCCCGTCGAAAATTAAAATCTACCCATCTTGATATCCATTTATGTTTATGCTTTAATTGTATCGAATAAAGAACCAAGTGTTGGAATGAACGATATCCGCCCATGTTAGTCTTGTGGTGAGAATTTTGAAGCTGAAGAATAAACTTTTATTAAACCTTTGACCCGCAGTTGTAATCAAAAAACTTTCATACAACCGTTGTTCGCTAATTAGCCACCGTAGTGGGTGGATTTTCCCAAGAGCTTTGAAAATAAGTTTGAAGCAAATCGGACAAAACTTAAAACTTCGCCGAAAAAATCTTTGAATCTATTTTCTACCAAGGAAGCTTGTATTCTGCGATTTATTTATTTTGCGTATTAATAAATTTGAGCACGAAACGTCACACACTATATCTTTGACCCCATTGCCACCAAGGAGGGATGGATTTTACAAAAAGTGGAAACACCTCTCAAATTAATTTAAACAATGATCTTTGAAAATGATTTTGAGACGGATCAGATTGTAAACTGAAAAGTTTCATACGAACGTTTTTCGCGATTTTTGTACACATGCGAGTCGAATTTCCAAAGACTCCCGTCCAGCTGCTGCTCTTAACCCAGGCGAGAAGGGATCTCCAACGAGCGGCAAAAAGCGGGACTCCTACAGCGAAAATTTCAAGACCGAGTGAGTCCGTTCTGAGAAGCGTTTTCCCACCCCAGGCAGAGGCCGGAGAACCCGAATAGTTGTCCGATACTTAACGCGATTTTCCTTTCC